TGTGTGTGTGTGTGTGTGTGTGTGTGTGTGTGTGTGTGTGACCGAAAACTTTTGAATCCTATCTTTATCTGTAGTCTTGTGCGTGATCTGTAGAGACTCTAGTTTTGATAGAGTCACAGTACCAATAGACCTCCGCTCAGACTCCGATTGATTACCTGGTTGCTCAGTTTCAGAAAGGTTGTTGTGTCAGTAGATCCAATAAAGGGCAGGACAGATTTTTTTGGGGATTGTCTAAGGGAATAAGGGACAATGGGATCTTAAAAAGATATGAGAAAGTGCTGTGATGAGTGATTTTGTAGCCCAGTAATCAAGTAGATTCTCCTCCAAAAATTTTGTAGTCAGGAAGGGAGGAGGAAGGAAGGCGTTGGAAAGTGGAATATAGGGTCAGTCGTCGTCGAGACTTTGTAATAGAGAGTAGGGAAGTCATGGTGAAGCCGGACGATGGGGCTAATTATTTTCATGTAAGAAGGATGTGGGTGGTACGGGTACGGTGTTGGTGGTGAATAAATACATGGAATACAGTTTTGTCGATGATCTAGTGCATTTCTTTTCTTGCTCCAAATCTATCCGCTGAAGTGCATTTCTCAACTCATCTAGCAAGTTGGGAATAACAGGCGATTCTTGCAGGGATGCCTTCCGTCTATATGAATTGAACTGTGAGCTACGTGCTCTCAACTGTGCCGCGCATCTCTCTTTACGAGAAGCTCTAGAAATCGATAATCGCTATTTGAAGGACGCTATTATTCTGGAAGCGAAAGAGGCACAGGAAGATGCTGCGGTATGCGATCCTTTTCATTTGACTTGGAGCTTCATGAAGCGTTGCATTAAAGGCACGGTTCACGATAAAAAAGGTTACTGACTTCTTCCTTTTGGAATACTCAGCGCCCCCCATTGGTGGTAGATGGGACCCTCTCGCTCCCACAATTTCGGCGCTTAGGGCACAGTGGAAGCCCCGTTGCTGCCGTAGTTTGCTTCCGCGCCCCTCGATTGATGTCACGTTAGACGAGTGTCGATACAATACAGATTGCTACTATTCGTTCTAGGACCCACACACAGTCAGCTAATCGGCGAGTGATGAGGCGATGTTTTTCTCCCATTCTTTTTTCCTCTGTTATTCTTTTTTCTGCCGCGATCCCTTATTTAATTTCCTACTCCTAAAGGCTGAAAAAGGTGAGCTACTTTTGCTCCTACTAGGGTTTTCTTTTGTTTACTTATGCTTATAAGTGAATGGATTTTCGCTTACCATCGTCTGTTTTTCGCACGAGGACCCACACACACGCAGTGAGACACGTTGTATAGCTCGTCCGAACGCCCCACTCTTCTTCATTTTCTGACCTCATTCTCGTCCAGCCCCCTTTTTAACGGTTTTTCGGACCATTTTTTCAATTTGGAAACACCGATTCACGCAGTTTCTTCACCTTCATCGCACTAATTTCGACCTTGTCTTCCATTTTTCATCATAATCTGGATTACCCATAATTATCGTGAACTGTGCCTTTGAGCTAGCTATTGCGAAGCGAACGACGTAATGTATTGTTACGCTGACGCGCCTTCGTACAGTTTCATTTTAATTAAGTCTCAGCCATGTTTGCTCATTCACTAGTATTAAATAAAAATTTCACCGAGATTTTATTGCTCGAAGTTTAGGGTGCTATGGGGAAATCTCATAAGGCTCAGAATCAAGGATTTGATTATGACGAGGTATGATGGTTATATACTTTGCCTGAACATTGAAAGGAGGAGCCTTTGAGCCAATAACGTGGAGCTGTGCAAGCATTTAGAATTCGGTTAGAACCGGGAAGGTAATCGAAAGTAGCGATCTGACCTCCAGCGCTGGTAAACACGAGGATAGGATACCGCAGCTAAGGTTTACAGGTTACTAGATTCTCGATTTGGAAATTTTTTTCTTAGACAACAATGTTGTTTTTCCTTTTATTGATTCATCATATACATATCGTGTCGAATTCGTACCTGACCCTCTTAGCTTGTGTCGCCAGGTCTTCGATACACGCTTCCGAAGCAAGGGTACAAGTAAAAGTGCAGACCGCCATCTCAGCCCTTCTTCTTTTACGTATCCTTTTCCTCCCCTGTTGTGACCTTGACATACTAGCAGTCTGTCGGAAGCGGTCCTTCACGTATTGGGATCGTCAGGTCCACGGGAATGAAGCTCGTTTACAGTACGGTTTCCGGTATATCCGCACCCATAACTTGCCAGTTTTGACGCGTAGGCTGAGTAGACGCCGGGTGATTAGCCTGAGTGTTCAATGGCTAACAAGATGCTTATTTGTTAGGGGCGAACCCAAATCGCCTTTCTGCATTTCCCAGTCGCTCGAGTGCTAGTTTTGGCTGAGCCGATTGCAGTATACCGACCGCACCCGCCAGCTCCCCACTCATTCATACATGGATCGCTTGCGAGGAGACGGCAGGTATAAATCGACCCAACACAGCAGACGCAGGAAGTCCATTCCCTGAGTCCACCCTTTTTTCTGTGCAAATGCCATTGGAGGTCTACCACTGAGAAAAAAGTTGCAATGCAAAAGATCAATGGAACATAGAGAATACTTCAAAAAATTATGGCGACTTTGTTATCCTAAAATAGCGGAGCGTAAATCAGTGAAGTTTTTCAATCCACATTTGGTATCATTCCGATGAGGACTTCCTGAAGGATCCGGCGCAGGCAATACTCAAGCAAAAAACGGTAGCTTTTGAGAAACACAAGTTTCATTTACAGAATTCAGCATAAAAGGAAAAGCAAAAAGTTCTGGAGAAGGAAAAACCGATCGCTACTTTTCCTGATTACCAAGCTCCAAAACTCTTGACTTGGGAGAAACTCTTTATCTGGAAAGTCAACTGATACTTCTCGGTCAAATGCTAACATTCGTTAGTTCAGGATGACGACGATACTGCCAAGATCAGTAAAATGATGGGCAGACCGATCCCAACCAGAGCTTGATTGCCACCGTAAGCAATTACTAAGTTTTTATCCGATCAGGAAACGACTGTGTCAGAGCCGTTAGGATAGTGAGCCGTGTACGTAAAACACTTAGCTCACAAAGGATAAACTTGGATAGGTGTCTACTTCCACACCTAGGATGACAGCTATTTTACGCTTCTCTACAGGTAGGTGAACTGGTCTTGGTAAGCTTCGTGATTACCTATCACTATAGTGTGGTCATTGTGAGTTGTCGAACTATGGAATACGGCAGCGAACGTGGTAGCGTGAATATCGAGCTATCGGAGTATAATCGCAGCTTCGCCCAAAAGTTCTATATTAGGGGAGGCAGCACTTGGTCGTAATAACTTTCGTCATAAAGTGATAGGATGTGAACGTCAAAAAATCCCAGAATTAGCTGCAGAGGGACGAAGAACATCAGCGTGGCCGCTCTAGCAGGCAGCACGCACTTTTCCAAGTTCCCACAGTGGGCAGGCACGCATGCGGCAGCCACTTTGCGGCAATTACCGTAAACATCCTCTGGGGATTCAAATATTGCCCTGACCTGCGAAATCCTCATTTTGTCAATATCACGACTATTGTAACAAGGTTACTTATCTAGTTCAATTTCAGAAATGAACTCAAACAATGAAAACCTCAATACTGTCATCAAGAGGCAATATATATCCTCTGGTACTCCTCTAAATTGTGAAGATTAAACTATTCACTACTTTATATCAATACTATTATGCCTTAATGCGTTATTGTATTCGTCTTCATGGAACTATTCAAATATCTAATAGGCGGATAAAAGTTTTTGGCGTTAATCAATCCCGTCTTAGGGATGTGCCCCGCACTCGACTTCCATTCAGAATCGTAGTGGCGTAATGAGTGCGCATGTGGCCTATACAATAACTTGCGGTGGCCAGCCGATGTACAAGTCAGTGCTTTTATCCTCCCTGACAAGTCTGGTACCAATTAACCGACCCCGGAGGGATGGAAGGACTGGTTGATCTAGGCGAATATCGATAAGGGGTTCGAACCCCTGACCGTGCGTATGAGATAGTGCGCCACTTCCCACTAACCACCTCCGTGTTCAAAAATGTTGAAGAAATGTTAATGAAAGTAGGCATGCTCGGCCATTTAGCTGTACTGACTGGCTAACAAGATCAAGAGCTTGAAAGAAACTTTTTTAATAGTTGACACAAATACTATTTCGAACAAGATATTATTCCAACAATATTACGAAGTGACGGTTGAATTGTGCTGAGGTCAATCTATAATACATACCTGTAACCTTGTACAACGCCGTGACATACAATTATGATTCTTTGTTAGTTATCAGTGTGATCTTATCACTAATTTTCAATAATTGTGACTAAAACGCACACATAGAAATTGTGAATCTATCATACATAAAATTGTAATCGAGCACCTAGAAGAGAGGGAAAAAAGACGGTCATAAGTGAGTAATCAGCCATACCCACTGATCGACACTATGCTCCACGAGCGCAATCAAGACCTGAGAACCGAGAAAATGTACTGCTTACAATATTCTGCGATAATTATGAAAGCACACAGAGTACAACACACTGTACACCAACATATAGCAATTAATAGATAGCAACAAAAAATATGAAATTTCAATGGAATAGAAATGCCCGCTGAAATCACAGGGTCGTCAAACACGATGGCCTCAAAGATGGTTAGTCAGTCTAGGAGAGGTACTATAATAGAGCATCAGTAGACAATTCCTCAACATCACTGGCATCAATATCACAGATGGCCGACGTATTCAAGGAGTCAGTGTCTCCTCCAGCGCCACGTTGAGTTGGAGGATCATCATAAATCCGAGAAGTGAACATATTCTTGTGACTTGGAGGTTGAGGTGCTTGACTACTCAAAACTGCATCATCAGTACCTGCAACAAGTAAATAGATTTATCCCTGTATTCGACTTTATCTCTCTATAAACCCACCGTCGCTATCGTCCCCGTGATCCAGAAGTGGTCGCTGCTGGTTCTCGCTGTAAGTCGCTAAACTCCGGCGAGGTCGCATCGTCATGTAGTCGTCATCGTTCACAACTGGGCTCAACACCGTCTCCCCAACATTCACCCGACCAGTCAGAGACTCAATCCTGTAATTCCGAAAACATTGTATCAATCATTGAAAAATCATCAATGTCAGAACAAGCCATTTCCAGGCTTCACAAAATTCCCAACAGGTTAGTTCTGCAAATTACGAAATTTGGAGAAAACCTAGGTATTCGAGACGACATGGGGGTTATAATGGCGAAAAAGATACCCAATAACTACAGGAATCAATCGAGCACAAGCTCGGTACCCTTGTCTCTCACTGGCTCCCCTTGCAATTGATGTGGGGATTACCAAAACTCCAACCCCTTCTTCTCAGGACAACACATACCATCCATCACATATCGCATTACCAAAGCCTAAATTTCTTCAAAATGCATGATTTGCAAAACCGACCTGATCATCAAAAGTGTTTGAATCTTACGATCACCCTGGCCATCCCTTTCACTGATTAAGACTCGTACCTTAATCGTTCCATTTGTATTGCGGCTCCTATGCGATCTACTCCATCACCCCACTTCTCATTGCCGTCATCATCGCCATCACTTGTTGGCAGACATTGGATCGACTCAGTAAGCGGAACCCTGAAGGAGTGTTTTAGGTTTTCAGAAAAAAAAACGGTGGCCCTTTCACAACATTGTAACGCACCTTTCTTGATTCAATGTCGAGAGAGCATCTCTAGTAGCGACCGCCTGACGAGGTTCCTTGACTCGACCTCGATTTTTGTTACTAGGAAAACGTCCTTGTTCTTCTTCTTCAGGAACTCGGAGGCCGAAACGACGCAACGCTTCCAATGCGCTAGAATCGTGTGACGATGTTCGTCCAGACTGAAACACGGTTACTGAAAAGGAGAAAATGGATCAAGCACGTTCATAGCAGAAATCCGACAATATCCACATTCCTTACACACATTGCCCACTTATTGGCTGACTGAAAAATTATAAGATTTTTCGGCATTGGCCCGCATTCTTGATATGCGTTTCCGAAACCAACTTTCAATTGAAATCGTAGTGATTTCTATGAATGCTTGAGTAAAATATATAATCATGTACGGTAATCAGCCAATGAGCAAGTCAGTCAGTCAGTAAAAGATTCATTTTTCGATGGACAAGCTCACTATCAAATGTCAAGACTACAGTAATCGTCTGATTCCCTCTTCATCTCAAGAAATTTTATCACTAGGAATTCGTGACAATTCTTACTTGAACGAAAGTGCTTTGAATCGAATTCATTAACAACGAGGGTAGCCCGTGTAGGAGCATGATCTAAGGAATCAAAAAAGGTAAGATTATGACCATTACACTGACAGTGCTTCTCACCTCATCCAAATCATCTGCTGCACTGCCGTAATCTGTGACACGTTTCCATTGCTTCCCTGTGCCGACAAGAGACGGTGACCGTGATTCGCCTCGACCACTGGATGAGAGACGTTCACGTTGTGGTAGCGGGCGTACCTAAGCAAAGTGCCGATAGAAAATGTTTAAAAAAATCGTTACACAGAAGCATGAGGAAAATTTTTGCTCCTAACAAAACAGCGGCATAGACAATAAAAGAGCCTCGGCCTGAGGGCCACATAGGGCTTCCCCCAAACAGCCAGCACTAGGGGAGAATATTACATGCGCTCCGAACAGCTGCCCAGCCACCTTGCAACGCGCTTGTCTTACGTAGCTGGACGTCGCAACGAATATTTTCATTCCAACTCTGTCAACCTTACCTGCACCGTCGGTAGACCAGTCAGTTGTGCCTGTTCAAGGTTTGATATCATCTGGTTTCCGCCACGGAAGGCTCTCGGTGGCAAAGGAGGAGGAGCTGACACCACTGGCGGTGGCACCACATGCGGATTACGCACGTGTGCCACAGCATGCACATGTTCTCCGTACTTTCCATCGTCACTGAAAGAATGTGAAAATTCGAAAATAGATTTTATTACCGCAACCAAGGTTTAACAACTAGCATTTCCATTACCTTTCCGATTTGAGACATCTACGTAGAACTGTGATGGCAAAGATGGCAGTTATAATGAGAACGAGAATTCCCAGCGCAATAATCAATTCGATAAACGAAATCCGTGAGAGGAATGGAGGCGCAATGTCTTAAAGGTTAAAAATAACACTTGGTGAGCCAACAGACTTGAACACTTTCAGAAAGATACCATCACAAGTTTTTCCAGAAAATCCATAGGTGCAGTTGCAGATGTAGCCAAGGTTATGACTGTGCTGCTTTGGAATTGGAATGCATGTTCCATGCATTCCACACGGTTCCGCAGCACATGCGTCGTCCAGATCTGAAGAAAATGGCTATAACATACACCCCCAATCTTACTCTCACCACCTGGAAACAGTTGGAAAAAGTACGATTACATTGAATACTGAAGGCAGGGAGCGTATAACACAAAGAGGCAGATCTATGAGATCATCGGAACGCCTTACAAGATAGTCACTGAGGCGTAACAGAGAATGCACCACCGAGAACGTCTATGCTTCTAAAAACTAGAAACAATCAGAGCACTCCCACTGCACTCAACTAATAGAGCGTGACTGGATTCGAAAACTAGAAATGAAATAACCGAATCTATTCGATGACTGTTGCGAAAGAACATTTGGGGCTTTCGTTTTCCCATACGATATCGAACTTTTGCAATCATAACTTGAACACAACCACAAACCGTATCCTCTGATCTCGCAACGTTTTCCAGTGAATCCGTTTGGGCATTTGCACAGATACTCATTGTAGAAGGGAATACACTGTATACCCAGTGGACAGGGACGTGAACCACACGGATCCATGTCTATCTCGCAGTTGGCGCCACTATAGCGCGTTGGACATGTGCACCTGAAAAAAAAAGTGTGAAGCTGGATCACCTAGTAGCCATAGAACGGAAATGACAGGTTTTGAAGAAAAACTTGACTTGAAATTCGACGTCGTGAATAAAGACATACTCAATGACCCTTTCCTTGAACACAAGTAGGAAAGTGTGCGATCTTTTGTACGATCATCGAATTCTCGCACATAGTCAGCGGCATTCGGAGTCATAGGACTCTAACTACCCTAAAATTCCATAGATAAGAGCGGGTGAATCT